TCATCTAGTGACTGTCCCTGGAACATGTCTTGTCCTTGTCCTCCTGCATTATCCTGTTGATATTATTCTCCTCTCTTGATTGCCTCGCCACCCTCACCATCTCTGAATCACCTCCATCCTGACTCACGTCTCCACTGCCTTTGCTGATGGTGACATCTGCCTATACTGTCATCGTGGCCGTTGGATTATTACTTGTAGGATTCTCGGTCTACACCTAATTTTCCTGAATAGATGGGACCCTCTTAAGAAGAAATGAAACATTTTGAGTATTTCTTTGTGCCTTTTACAATGTCTAGAGCAAAGCTTTGGACGGCTGTCATATGATAACTAATGAATTAATCAAATATAAGTACCAAAGTCCACCTTAAGGGGATTTCCCTGGAGGTCCAGGCATTCCAATGCAGGGGGTGCGGGTTCGATCCCTGGTTGGGGAGCTGAGATCCCACATGCCTCGAGGCCAAAAAAACCCAAAACATATTTAAAACAGGAGCAATACTGTAACAAATTCAATAAAGCCTTAAAAAAAAAATGGTCCACATAAACAAAAATTTATTTTAAAAATCGGCCACACTAAACAAAAAAACACCTTAAGATCAAGAGTAAATGATTTCTGCATTACCTGTTCCTCTTGATAGTCCAGAAGCCTTATGAGGAATAGTATAGTTTGTCCCTATACTAGCACTTGAAAGGGTGACTTAAGCTTTTGTGGTTAGAATAAATGAAGAAAGTCTGGGTGTGAGCCATGAAAATCAGAACCATCTGGCAGCAGTATACACACAGTACCCGCAGCTTGTGATCCAAGCTCTGCAGTGATTTCTGTAGAAGCCCAACGTCTTTATTCAGTGGAATTCATTTGTATGCTCTTACTTGGTAGCCAGTCAGGGCTGTCACAATAATGCAGTCAGGAGTCACATATTTTTAGGGATAATCTATAGAGCAGTTGCTTTGAATCTTTAAACTAGTGGTTCTCCATCTTTTGAGTGCATCAGAACCTACCGAAGGCTTTGTTGTAACTCAGGTTGCTGGGCCAGCCCTCAGAGTTTCTGATTCAGTGGGTCTGGGGTGGGTCCGAGAATGCCCATTTCTACAAATTCCCAGGTGATGCCAATGCCACTGATTCAAGGACCACACTCTGAGCACCGCTGGATTAGACACATAATTTGATGGATGTTTATCTCAGCCTTGGGAAATTTCCACTTACTGGTAGCACGCACATAAAGTCTGGGAGGCATAAAGATGTTTTGAATATTGACCAGGAATTTTAATTTGGAACTTTAAAATATGGTTTGGTGGCTTATAAAATAAGAATTTGGTAGTTCCACATGTCCCTGGAATGGATGCCCTCTCCTAGTGCTTTTTAAAATGTCACTTTTTGAGAGTGCTTAAACATTTTTAAGAGTCTAAAATATTTAGGCATTTACTCTCATAAAGCTCACATGATTTTTATTGTTTATTTAAATGCTAGTATGAATCAAAACTTTTCCAACATATATCTTAATTTATTCTTAAAGGTCATTATAATTTGAAAGAGGGAATAAAATATGGGTAAGTAGAAAAGTGATCGCATTTTAATTAATTACAGTCATCTGTAGCAAAACAAATTCTTGATTTGACCTGATGTAGCATTTTATTTGAGGTTTACTCTGAAATTTATTGAAGCCATGCTCTTGGTACTTTGAGGATTATTACTGACAACATTTTGTTTCTGGGTAAACTGAGGCCTGATTAATGGTCCTAACTAAAGTTATGATGTAGAAATTCATGAACCTGTGCCCTGATCTGAGAATGCTCGTGTCTTTGGGTTTCTGTTTAATTCTTTGCCTCCTACTGTATTTTGTTTTCTTTATCAAGAAGCTTGCTTTTGAAGGGCAGGCCCTAGGGGTATCCAGTGTTTTTCAACAGCAGGGATGGGGATGAACGTCTAAAATGCCTTCCTAAATGCCTATGAGATTGTATACGGATGTCCCACTAATGCTTATGAGTAGGTGGTAAGAGTATGTCATTCATTCCTTTTCTGATTTAAATAACTATATAATTTATCGTTTTTTGTGAAACTTGTATTGCTTTTGTAATCATGTTAACATAAAGACATGACATTGAAAACAAAAGAGTTAGTTACAGAAAACCATCTATTTTGCCAATACATTGGTGTTTAAAATAAGAGATAGACCAGTGGGAAAGTTCAGGAGGAAAGAATTGCAGGTGCCTTCTCCAGACACAGGTAGAGTGATGGAGTTGGAACTTTTCATCTCGTTAGCTGGGAAGAGGAGGAGAGAAGAAAGGAAAGAGATGTATAATAAGAGAGTGGCCCTGACAATGCATGGCCAGGAGCCTGAGGTGGACGGGCTTGCTATCCTGTCAGAGAAAAGAGACTTCAGTGCTGACTATAAAATGAGGCTGTAGAAACACATTTTGTTGTAGATCTCTCCCAGACCTTCCAGGGCATGCACGTTCAGTCATGCCTTCCCCACATTCAGTCAGAGGACACTTCCTGAGCACCTGCTCTGGGCTGCGTGTTGCTAGTCCTGGGAATTTCTCTCCACAGGCTTCTCCCTGCTTACGTGTGTTCAGCCCTTCTCTGGGTTTTAAAAATGAAATAACAATATCTTATTACTCCCTGGAGCTTCTACTTTTTCCTCATATTTATTTTGATGACAGGCTACTTGAAAAAGCACTGTTCATTGATCCCTTCTGCAAATATTTACCCCCAGGTGTCCGGCAGTGTGCTCAGCACGGGGGGGGGGGGGGGGGC